TTTTAAACAAGAAAAAAAGTACCAAAAATCATCTTAGAAGGAAAACTTTAATTAAACATGAAATCTGAAACATCTGATACAACAATAAAAGCAAAACTGTTTGGGGGCGGTGGTGTTCGAAGTGTACCTGATCCTTCCAAGTCAAACAAAAGCGAACCTAAAAATCCGAAACATCGGATGTGTTGGCTTTTCATATGGTTGGTTTCTCTGTTTTGAATGGAAGATTTCTCTCCAGATCGTATGGCTTTTCATATGGTTGGTTTCTCTGTTTTGAATGGAAGATTTCTCTCCAGATCGTATGGCTTTTCATATGGTTGGTTTCTCTGTTTTGAATGGAAGATTCCTCTCCAGATCGTATGGCTTTTCATATGGTTGGTTTCTCTGTTTTGAATGGAAGATTTCTCTCCAGATCGTATGCCTTTTCATATGGTTGGTTTCTCTGTTTTGAATGGAAGATTTCTCTCCAGATCGTATGCCTTTTCATATGGTTGGTTTCTCTGTTTTGAATGGAAGATTTCTCTCCAGATCGTATGCCTTTTCATATGGTTGGTTTCTCTGTTTTGAATGGAAGATTCCTCTCCAGATCGTATGCCTTTTCATATGGTTGATTTCTGTGTTTTGAATGGAATATTTCGCTCGAGATCGTAGTCTGCACTCCTTATTTTTTCTTGCACACTTTATGGTTGACATAACGGTAGATAACATGGATTCGTTGTTACACATGACAGTTTTTATTGTCCTTCACCTCAATTCCAGACATTTTGAGATTCGAATATTTGTGGCAATTGTGGTTAGCTTGTTGTCTTCAGCCCATTCAGAAAACAGGATGGAGCTGCTAGTTTGTATTCTTGAACGTTAATTAAATTTAATGCCAGCTTTGCTGTTTTGTTTAACAACTCATTTCAAAGATCAAGTTCTTAATTTTGTTAACATCCCCAGTGGTCTTTCATTATTCGTAATAGATTTGGGTATGTGTACAGGCAGCTGAAATTTCTTGGACATTCATTCTACTAATGCGTCATCGAATATAATAATTCCTTTATGAAGCTTGTTAGTTTCTTATGACATGTTGGGATGGACGTAGCCTAACGGAAAGATCCAAGGCTCGACACACGATATCTTTTGGCATCTTTACTCAAAACAGCTTCGTTAGTAGATACTGACGTTTATAAACTAAGCCAACATACAGTATAGGATCAAGTTAATGGGCCAGATCCGCTTCCGCTGGAATGTTTCAGTTGTTTCGTTAATATAGCGTATATATATATGTGTGCGTAAGTGTATACTTGTGTTTAAAATTGTTCTATATTTTGGGAAATATTATCTTAAATGAAAAAGTTAAAAATACAACCAAATGTTTTGGTTTATTTGTTGTAACGATCATCATTTCTTAAAGTTTTCCAATCTTGCTGAACTGTGGCCGCCAGATCTGTAATAACTAGCATTCGCCACAAGGAGCGCAGTAGATAAATCGTATGTACGTGTTGTATTTTAGCTAAAGGAATATTTCGTTTCTAGTGATAACGAACGGTTGTGCGATGTCTTGTTAAGAGTTTTTAATCGATTCTGTTAGCTGGAACTTGACAGAAAACCAAATGTTTACTCGAGTCAAATTTAGATGTAAATTTTCCTTTTAAGAAACAGTCTGCTGTAAATTGCTGTTAACACACACACAGTTCCCTTGGTTCCTTCCTGTGTAGAGATATATCAAACTATATCCAAAATTGGCTGCCAGGAAAACGCGTTAAAAGTAGTCAGTTTTTGTTTGTTTGTACGTGTTCGGCAGACACATTGACAGATTACCGTTACGTTCGACAGATACATGGTGTTTAAGTAGAAAATGAGCACATACGTGACGTGTCATCAATTACTAGAACCTACGACATAGTGCGCGTGCGTACATCTAGTTATTCCCTTAGAAACGAGCAGCCTTCCCGGTTTACAGATTTTTTTCTACTCTGCTCTTACAAATATTTAGAAATAGTTATGCGATTGTTATTCGAAAGTAAAGAACCTAAATATCAAAGATAGGTTTCCTAGTAATCTGGTTTTAAGCCTTATACAGGTTTACAGTAAGAAAAGCCTGTAGTGCCTTTTTGTTTTTGTTAGGGACTACTGTTGTCAGACCGAATTTTGTCGTTACTCTTTTAACGCACCCACGTCCCCAAATAATGGAACGCACGAATTTGTTTTTAAATTGTAACGGGACGCGAACCAGGAATTTCTGCTCCACGGTCCGGCACGTTAATCACTCGTGTCTTGTAGTGTTTTAACTACATACATTTCTTATCATCAGACGAAGCCTTTTACTTAATTCCAGAGCTCATTAAACCGCCCGAGTTATAAACCCGAAGAGTCTTAGTTTTAATTTCATTGATATCAGCCCTTTTTAAATACACCGTTTTCTATATGTACAATACGTGGAAAATGTAGAAATAAACGTTATATTCTCGAAGACTTACAAAGGGCCTTTCAAACTATTGACAGAAATAGGGTTTTAACTAGGGAGGCACGGGTACACGGTCAGATATTCGGCCCCGGCCGGGTATTCGACGACCCGGTAATACTCGTGTATTCTGTGTATGTTTTTTTTTTGGGGGGGGGGGGTATTCGGCCAAATTTTACTACCCGTGCATCCCTAGTTTTAATAATAAGATTTGAGGATAATTGCTATTGGTCAATAGGCTTCTTCTGCTGTGATTTAATATGTAAAGCTGTCCTGATGCAGTAAAGGAAAATAAACTGTTTGTTCTAATGTTTTACCACATTTATTAGTGTAATAAGGATCGCATTTCGTCTACTTTTAGTATTAACTACCTCATATCAACCTTTTTCTTATCTCTGTGTTCTGTTATTGTATGTGTATTGGTGACTGGTTAAAATATATAGTAAATTTGGTAGTTTGAGTTTTATTACATTTACATAAACTTATACTTCGGGCCTTATATATATTTTAGATTTTTATATTGGAAAGTCGTCAACGTATATTTTACTTGAGATCTCAAACTGCTGTGCTCTAATCAAATAGGATTGGAGCACATGCAGGCAAGGCGTGGCAAGACCAACCCTTGTACTTCCCGTTTGATAGAGTGGCAACCAGAAACTGATTGTGTCGATCACTCTTCCCAAGAAATGTGATGGTAGGAGGCGTGTCTGTGCACAGAGATTTTTTTTACTACCGTCACTAGTTGTAGTACAAACTGTGATTTTGCTACAAGATAGAACAAAAAAAAAAAAGAATAAGTGTGTTGATAGAAAGTATGGAATAGTTTGAATATTACAGAAATTATCAAGTTTTATAAAATGCATTTTCTTATATCACAACTATCTCGAGATGATTTTCTGCGCAATTAACTGTGTTAAAGGACAATGTTTCTAGTTAAGCACAAAGCTACATGATGGACTGTGTCTGGTGTGCCCACCACGGGTATCGAAACCCGATTTTTAGCGTTAAAAACCTTCAAACTTACCGCTGAGCCACTGAGGGGAGTTAAAGGAGGGGAAAATGCTTAAAGGCTGAATTTTACGAAAATGCAAAATTGTTGAATTATCACTGCTGTATGTAGAAGACCTGTTTGAGTATTAAGCATAATTAATTTCTAACTCGTGTTTCCAAGTGGAACATTTAAACCTCTAAAAACCTTTATCTTCTTTCTCATTTCCTCAGTTTCGGATTTGTATCCGAATATTCGATACTTCATTCAAGATATTACCTCAGTTATCTAATATAGATCCATGAAAATATAAAAGTTACTCAGCTCTTACTCGTAATTTAGGTAATTTAATTTTAGTTATAAGTTTATGCCTTTGGTGTTTGATTTTTTTTTACGTTATGTGTCGTCTAACATCTCTCTCTCTCTCGCGTTTGCTCTTGTCAAACAGACAAAATAATCACCATTAGCAACAACTGACTAATAGTGACGTTACTATTACCTGTCTGAGGGCATCGAGGACATTGCCAGGAATAAACAGCTGAGAGAAGGGATAGCGTGGAAAATTTGTCAATTTATCGATACTGTGTGCTTTTTTGTTTGTTTTATAGCAAAGCCATATTAGGGTATCTGTTGTGTCAACCGTGGGGAATCGAACCCTCGATTTTAGCGTTGCAAGTCCGTAGACCGGTATGCTGGATATGTGTACTTTTTGAAAAAAAAAGAAAAAAGATTGTATTATCTGATTGTAAAGTATCTTAAACTTTTTTAATTGGGAATGACGAAAATTTTGTAAGCTTTATAGAAATATATATGATAACAGTTACACATGTCGTAAGACACTAGTATTAGGCCTATTACATTTTTTAATATACATTCATTATATAGTCCCTAAGGGATTTTCAGTAGCGTTTACTGCATCTCAGCTGGCCTAAAGAGGCCCGGCATGGCCATGTGGTAAGGACGCTCGACTCGCAATCTAAAGGTCGCGGGTTCGAATCCCCGTCCCACATAAAATGCTTTTCCTTTCATCCGTGTGGGAGTTATTATCTGACGGTAAATCCCAATATTCCTTGGTAAAAGGGTAGCCCAATAGTTAGCCCTCTAGTCTTACACTGCTAAATTAGGGATGACTAGCGCAGATAGCCCTCGTGTAGCTTTGCGCGAAATTCAAAACAAATTCTGGATTGAGCTAAACACGTCATCGGTAATGGATGTGACAAATATTGTAATACTGTTATTATACGTTCTTCTAATTGTTGATGTAGTGTTTAAAAATGTAATAGGCCTAATACTAGTGTCTTACGACATGTGTAACTGTAATCATGCTTCGCCAACCTGTAAAAAGTGTACACGCCATAACAACTGTATTTGTCATTAAAATCATAAATATAATACAAAGAAAGAGTAGTTCATAGTCATATTTTGTGTATTTCATATGTATTAATTGTAGTTGTCTTACACACAGCATATATTTTGTGTATTTTACATATATATATATTAATTGTTGTCTTACACACAGCACAGTTGAACTGTTCATAACTTAAGATGTACATGTTCTACTTCTAGGTGTTCATGTCACCACGGTATCCAGGCGGGCCAAGGCCGGGGGTTCGGATGGCTCAACAAGTGGACTTCAATGTAAGTAGAGCCCGAGTTTGTGGTTGTTATTTTTTACATTGTTAGCTAGATACATAGGCTTAGAAATAAACTTGCCTAAATATCCTAGGCTGATGAACTTCATGAGATTATTGGGATTATGGCCGAAAATTTTGACAGCAACGGCATCCAACTGATCAATCAATGCTTTCTGATCATGACAGATTTTGCTTTGTTTTATGGCATTGCATACTCACAGTTAGACTGATATATTAAATTATTCACATTATTGATTGGCTTAATTTTGAGTTCTGATTTATGTAGGTAGCTTGGCTTGAAGTTATTTACAAAGAAATTAAAACCCATCTCTATTAAATTCAGAACGTTTTTTAAACAGCATGATACGAGTTTCTCCTTGTGAGAACTACATCGTAAAATACAGGAAATCCTTTGAATATGTCATTTCTAAATTTAACAAAATACAGGAAATCCTTTAAACATGTCATTTCTACATTTAACAAAATACAGGAAATCATTTAAACATGTCATTTCTACATTTAACAAAATACAGGAAATCCTTTAAACATGTCATTTCTACATTTAACAAAATACAGGAAATCCTTTGAATATGTCATTTCTAAATTTAACAAAATAGAGGAAATGTTTTAAATATGTCATTTCTACAATTAACAAAATGCAGGAAATCCTTTAAACATGTCATTTCTAAATTTAACAAAATACAGGAAATCCTTTGAATGTGTCATTTCTAAATTTAACAAAATAGAGGAAATGTTTTAAATATGTCATTTTTAAATTTAACAAAATACAGGAAATCCTTTAAATATGTCATTCCTAAATTTAACAAAATACAGGAAATTTTTAAATATGTCATTTCTATATTTAACAAAATACAGGAAATCCTTTAAACATGTCATTTCTACATTTAACAAAATACAGGAAATCCTTTAAAATGTCATTTCTACCTTTATCGAAATACAGGAAATCCTTTAAACATGTCATTTCTAAATTTAACAAAATACAGGAAATCCTTTAAATATGTCATTCACTTAAGTTTACAATGCATGTGATAAATGTACATTCCTCAATACGATCCAAGAATTCGTGATAAACTTTGAGAATTACAAATATTGATAACCTTAGGAAGCTTTAACCAGTTATCTTACATCCAGTCAATGTGAAAACAAATATCGAGAATGTGGTATTAAAAATCCATTAACGAAGGTACAAGATCTCGTGTTTCTCGCTCGTGGGATGCTAGAAAGCGATGTGACCTGTTGCGATGCATCTTTATGGTCATGGCGAGACGTTTAACTCTCCAAAGCACGTTTGACCTATTTATGCAACTCAATTTAAGTTTTAGCTCGTGACTTGGCAAACGGTATAAACATTTTCGTATCGTCTATACGGATACACATTCATTCCATTGCTTGAAATAAAATAGGATCTCAATCGTGAACCTAACATTTAACTTTGTTCACTGTTATTGTTATCAACTTGGGAGGTAGAGTTTGTTTTTAACTGAAAAATTAATCGTAAGAGTGCAGCTCAAGAGGTTCCACCTCTCGATGTACATCACCAGAATTCGTGGAATGCTCTCGAAACTCATAACTGTGAAAGCAAAGAAGAATATGTTATAATATGTAAACCATATCCAGTGACGACGTGGTCTTTCGTCTAATACCAGGGTTTATCAGGTCGGCTAGGAGACGATAGACGTAGTAGTGGTCTAGGCGATTTTTAGATCATCGGTTCTTCTGAACTACGACTGCTGTGGTGTCAGCCAGAAGATTAATCAGTTGAACTGTAATTTTCTATCAGTTTTATTCTATCTCTTTAATTATCTTTCACTGTCATTCACAAGAACTTGCAAACCAGCTAGTTAGTCTTCTAGTTCACGGAGCGGGTCATATCACCCCAGTATCAACGGGTGAAAATTAGTAATTTAAAGAATCTATTAATGAATGCAAAAGGGGGGGTATGGTATAATATATCAACCACTCTAATATCGAGTGCCGACAAGACCTTTCGTGCAATATGTTGGTTTTAGATGCTGTTGATATTTGGAATTTTGTAAAGTGCAAGATAAAAAAAAATCCTCAGTGTTTCGGGGGCAAAACATTTGAACAAATGACGATTGATAAACTCACACCTTTGATTGATTCTGACACAAGTGCCCCCAGTGGCACAGCGGTATGTCTGTTTCGATACCTGTGGTGGGCAGAGCACAGATAGCCCATTGTGTAGCTTTGTGCTTGATTCCAAAAAACAAACAAACTGACACAAGTACAGGCGGCTCGTGTAATAAGTTATCCGATATAGTTATATACATACATAAACATGTTTACTATTGTTAGTAGGTCCACATTACAACCATATGTATATATATATCCTGTAACGTGGACCTTACTAACACAGTAAGACATGTTTCTTAATAGAGATTGTTTTCCTTTATATCTACATATATAAAACAGTTATACGGATGTTCTCTAGTATCGTTGCAGACCTCGTGACTGTTTCTGTACTAATTTTGTTTAACAAAAATTTGTTAATAGTATTTAAATGGATATTAAAATAAAGTTTCCTATTATAATTCATATTTATAAACAGACTGATATACGTATAGAGCGTGTTTATCTACTTGTATGTTTTATTTAACTTCTTTGTCGTGCATCCAAATTGTTTCGTTTGTATGTGTGTGTGTGTGTGTATGAATACATTTCAAAAATAACGAAAGTTTATATATATATATATATATATAGATAGATATAAGCGCACACATCTGTCTATCATCATTTGTGTAATTCCAGTCACATTTATGACGATGAATGTCAGATAGCTAAGATACTTTGTTCTTGAAAGCAGAATTTATTACTTCCCTAAAACCAATAGTATCGTTGTTATATACGAACATAACATTTACCTAGAACACAGAAAAATAACGTACATCATAATGAGACAACCCAGAACAATATTGTGGACGGACGTCAGCTATTTCCAACAGTGTAACCCTGGATTCTTGTGAAACGCCCCTACATATCTTTCCGGAAATCTCCTTCAGAACTGTTTTATTAATCTCGAAAAAACATGACAAGATATTAAGTTAAGCAGCTTTGAATAATGTATAAAATCAACCACATCAGTAACTGCGAAGAAACGATTTCTTTCGACCGACATGGTCTTTAAAATAGAACAGTAGTAATGGGGGAGTAGTTGAAATGTAGTAATAAGAAGGAAGAGGAATAAATATTAAACGGGTACAGTAACTACGTTTAATAAAACTGGTGGTGGTTGTACTGAACGAAGCTGCTGAACATCGACATCTATCGATGTAATTATTTCCACGCTTTTGATTGCTGGGGAAAATGAGTCCCAGCCGCTTGGAAACAAACCCCAAGTTTCCACCAGTTAATAACACGGGTTCAGTTTTCCAATTACAGCATTTATATACATAGAAGGAAATCATTACTCTGAAATTGCTTTCATACCAAGGATCTCGAGAGAGGGGGCGAAAATACAAAGGAAAAAAATACAAGTTATACTTGCCTTATTTTGATTAACTTACCTCATGAAGCGGGAAGTAGTATGGGCACGTTTTCATTAAATAACAAGGTACACTGCAGATGGAAAAAGTAAATGTCACAGATGTTATTACATGTAATGGAGGTTTTAAATTGTAGTTCGACTTTAAACAGTACATAGAAGAACGTTGGAAATGTTTTTTTGTCTTCGCTGACCTGAAAAACATTACTTTTAGTTACTACTGACCCACAAACACACGTATGTAACGCACTTCTGACATATGCACATATGTAGACGCACTGCTGACATACGTACTCGTGTAGACACAACACTGACATATGCACTTCAAAACGTACAGACTGCCTGGTAGACAGGGACTTCATTGACACACACACACATATATACTAGTGGTTTGTTATTTTCTGTACAAATAAGAACTTTTAAAGGCCATATTTTTAAAGTCTGAAATAAAAAGTTGTGTTGTTTAACATACATGTTTCATAGCGTTTTCTGATACAGCCTGATTGGTTATCCGAAAATTGGCTGAGTCATCGTAGCATGTGATAATTTCCAAACATTCTACGGAAATTATACGTTTATCTGATAAGCGCTGGTGCCTCCTCATTAAGTTTGTAACTACCCATGCAGACGACTTTCACGCAGGGTTGTGGACGTTCATCACGTAAATGACGATAATTAGGCTGGAAAAACGGCGTACATTTCAAAGCAACCTAATACACTGTGAGCGTAATAATCTAAACACACACGAGAGGAGTTATTCCCCCGATTTTTAGTTCGGTATAACTTGTATAACAAACTGCGGGAGGGGGGGG